AAAAGGCACTTCAGACTACACAAGCAATAAATTCGGTTTCATTTGAGATTATTAGTACCATAGCAGCAGGGGTTAGGCATAAACAAAGAAAATGTTATTTTAAACTAACTTCCTCTAGTGATCGTATGTGAGCAAAGGCTCTTCAGAGTTCTCAAGAGTTACAGTCAATTTTTAACTTCCAAAACCTAAATGCTAAGCCAAATTTAACATCACAGGTGAGGGTAAAACAAAATAAGTCTTTAATGCACTTCTGTCTTAAGAACCATCCAATCCCAGTTAAAGTGAATCAACTACGGAGAAGTTATCAGACTAGATCTCGTACAATTCATAGTTTTGGGGGGTTTTTTTCACCCTCAATTCCCGGCCATAACCGACTACATCAACAGGCCGGCGTGTTGCGACAGTAAGCACCGCTGGATGGCTGCGGGCACTCGCAGCCCGCGCCGTTTCCCCGGCCCGCCCGAGCGGGACCCGGCAGCGCCCGCCCCGAGCGCCCCCGCCGCGCTCCGCTGACAGGCGGCACAAACTTCAGCCGCTGGCAGCGCGGAGCCCCGACCGCCCCGGCGGCTGCAGGGGCTTGGACGGAGGGGTCGTGCCCCTGCCGTGCCACTCGCCGGGGACCCCGAGGAACCCGCGTCGACCCCCGGCAGAAGCAGCGGGGACAGCCGAGGCAGCCGAGCGGTGAGGGAGGCTGCACTGCCCAGAGAGGTCACAGCCCGCGGAGAGGCGCAAGGGCCGCCGGCAGGGAACGAGGGGGTCCCGGATTGAAGCTTCCCACCGCGGCGAAGGACCGAGGCCGCAGCCACCCACCGGGAGCGGAGCTGCTGCCCAGCCAGGGAGCTGTCAGGCCCAGCGATGGCGCAGTCGGCGGGATCCCGCCGGTCGCCGCCGGAGCCATTCCCGATGCCTTGCCCGCGCTGCTCCGCGTTGGCAGCGGGGCCGCCGCCGCCCTGCCCGGCCCAGCGGCGGGGGGCGCGCCCTGCCCGCACAGCGCCTGCGCGGAGCCGCCGGCCCGGGGCGGTGCTGCCCCGCAGCGCCCGCCCTGGTGGAGATGGTGTGGGGGCTGTAGAGTGTTCGTGTCTGTGCCCGGGCTTGGCCCTAATGGGGATGAAGGCGTTTCGTATACACGCCTGTGGGCATCCCCCCGAGGTCGGTCCACAYAGAGTTTAATACTGCGGCTTCCAGACGTGGTTTCCTCAGCCCGGGGACATCGTGTCCTAAAGGGCCCGGGGCGAGCCGAGGTGACCGCTTGACCCGTTTGCTTGGCATTGGCCGTGTGCCACGATGGCTCCCGAGCGCTTGAGGTGCAGTGCCACCCTCATGAGGTTGTCTGTGGAGGAGCCTCTCCCCCAGGCAGGTTTCGGTGAGTCTCCCTTAACACCAGTGGTTTCAGCTGTGGCCAGGGAAGGCTCCGCTGTCATCGYTGCCCCAGGGGCTGTGCTCACCCTGCCGGCAGCTGCCAGGGCGTAGCATGGCTCAAGGCCTGAGGACATAGGGCARCAACACTTGCTCTGCACCAGCATGGAGCCTGTTTTCAGAGCCGCATTGAAGCTACTTACTGTAAGGGCAGAGCAGTGGACCTACCCCGAGGAGCTGTAAGGCAACTTCCAGCATGTGGAAGTTGTTGCCACCATTGCAGCATTAATACCAGTACAGGCAAGCATTCAGAAGCCAAATGTGGCCCTGTATTTGCTGTCCTTATGCACGTGGTGGCATTGCTTGCACTCATCCCTCTTGCCTCTTCCCTTGCACTGGACCTCAAATTCATGCTTTATTCCTTACATCTTCATTGCTGAGCCTCAGCTTAGTTTTATACTCCACTAAACTAATTCCCATGCTTAGACCTTGACCCACTTCACATTTCAGCARCTACAGCTGCACTTTTCTAATGGCATAGCATAAAGCTAAAGACGTATTCTTGTATCAAAGCAGAGGCAACTATAGCTTCACAGTACTTACAAATACAATACTCTAAATTATTCTAATCTAAATAATTTATTWAATTGCTTTTACTGATTTTGAATACCCAAGGGAAAAAACCACCACTCATTTAAGATACAATATTGCAAAAATTATAAAGACAGATACATAATTGAATATTTTTTCATCTGGTGACAACATTGTGTGCAGTACCTTTATCAGTCCCTGACTAGACCAGGTGGATTCAGATTATCAGACTGCCAGCTTCCTGTATGGGACAGTCACCCCATCTCACATCTCCTCACTAACCCCCAGTCTTCTTTTCTAGTCAAGAAAATATGCAGAAAATTATGTTGTCAAAAATAAATTGCCCTGGAAATAACGACAGTTTTAACCCTTTTCCTCTGTGCTTGACTGTCTGCTCTATTCATGGTACAAACTGTAGCCACTATTTTTATACAGGGTTGGGTTTTTTTTTCAGAGGTACAGTATTAAAAGATTAGGATGATTCAGTATCTGAAATGTTTATAATTGAAAATACCTCTTCTCAGTAAAGTATATAACCAAGAGCATGGAAACTCAGATGTCTACTTGCTACTTGGTAGGAGACTTATCTGTTTATTAACAAAACTAATGAGGAACTAGCAGAACTGTCCTTTTCAACAGAATAGGAAGTCAAGCAGCAGGACCTAGGGTTCTTTGCACTTATAAAAACAATTCTTTCTTCCTCTTGGGTTTTCTGCTGCTCACCAGAGTTGCCTCTGCTCTGTCTCTTAAATTTTTCTTTGCTTTTTTTGAGGGTATGGTTCTGTGTCAGCTGCTCTCAGTGTCACAAAGACAGACTTGGAGAGAGAGACAATCCTTTTCTCTTGGATAAAGTGCAGTACCACAGATCCCAACTCAAAGGAAATGGCAAAATGCAGCAGGATTACTGAACCATATCTGCCTCCATGAAACAAGTTCTCCAGAGGTGGGCTTTATCTCAATCTCCCTCTGACTTCAGAAAGACTTATTTTTTCCTTTTAAGATTAGAGAACTAATCTGAGTTTAGAGCACAACCCACAAGCAAGGAATTGGCACAATTTCTGAGGCAGTAACTTCCTGCCCTTCTTCACCCACTGGAACAAACAGCCGTGGGCACAGGGAAGTTATCAAATTTGCTTTGCCRCTAGAAGATCCATGAAACCATCTGTCAGTTTTTATGGAAAATAATGAATCTCACTCAAAGCATTAAGAAGTTTCCTTAACAGTCTCCAGACCAAGTTGCAGTGAGATTTAATTAGCCCAATCTATGTCAGTTATTTCCTCAAGATTTCTAGAATTTGTCTTTGGTTTGTTCCTATTGCTAGAAAATGCAATGAGCTGGGAAATATGTAAGAAGTTTTTCTATTGCAAACCRGTCAAGAAATTTTCTTTAAGTAGTCTTTCACTCTACTGTCTACTAATTCTTGAAACTTCTCCAAACCAAATTCCAGTGTTGACTTTCTTCATTGGAAGATTTCTTCTGAATTTCATTTTTATTGGTAACAATGCCTGAACAGACCAGACAACTATCTGTCCTCATTTGTAGAAGTTACAGAAAGAATAAACATTGGCAGAGGTAAGTAGAAGACAGGATCCCATTGCTTTCACTTCTTAAGAAACATGGTCTTAAGTATCAAAACAAAGAAAGTGACACTGGAAATCTCACATCATCAAGCCCTTTTATATTACTTAATGAGATACTTGATACTGAATTAACAGGATGCTAATTTCACAATTAATTATATAATTACATTAAAACCCATTTATTTCAAGTATACATGAATACCTCAGTAAATCAACTAATCAATGCTAATGCTAGTAAAACCTGAATACTTGAAATTTCCCTTGATAATCAAATTATACATATTCCCATATAACTTAATTGCTTCAGTTTTATTACTAGAATCACAGTTAAGACTGTTTTCTAAGCATCCTTTCTACAAGAATTCTTTGCATGTCTTATATATATATATTCAAGGCAAAAATACTTCCAAAACATTTTAAAGCTGTATCCAAATGCCAGCAGTATCTGAAATTTATACACATCAAATAAACACTCTTTGGGAGTTGTAACTCACCTGACAGTGATTTAGTTTACAAATCAAAATGAGCAAAATAATAATGTAGAAATGTTAAAAAAAACCCTTAAGGAGCTGGGATGATGAGGAAGAAGCAAAATAATTTGATAAGAAGATAGTAGGTAGTTATAAAACTCAACTTTAATCATTGGGTTTCTTACAGWTTTTTGTTGTATTTATTAATAAGCTCAATTTTTCATTCATAAAAAGCTATTATAAATCTCTGTAAGACTGAGACTTTCCTAGTATGTGTCTCTACCATCTGAAAACTAAAAAACCTTGTGTATTTGTTTATGGAAAAWTATGCATTAAAAAATAAAATAAAAWTCATAGACCCAGACAGTATAAATCACCTTGGTGTTCCAGGTTTGACTGTGTGGTGCTTAGCTACTTAGTGGAATTAAGCCACAACACTTGGAAACAGTATCCCAGAGTGGAAAGAATTAATTGGGAGTCTAGCTTTTATATAGTTTGCTGGGAGTGTTCCTTACACTTTTCCATCACTAATGGTGTGATGAATACAGCTAATTCGAGTCAGATGTGCCATTTCCAAGTGTARTCTCCTTAGCTTCTGAGATTTGATYATCAAATCTCTGCCTATCCTGCAAGAAGATAGTACTAAATTTATGTGAAAAGAAGGGTAACAAAGTATTTTGTAAAATATAAATATTGATCAAGTTTCTATGTAATAATTTTGGAGTAACTTTATCCAAATGCAGCAAAGAGATTTGCTCTTTGCTAAAAATGGTCTTTTGCTTGCTTTTTTATAGGCAAAACCTTCTAAAGAAGTCCTCTGTTTCCATGTGTGTCCMGTACCATGCGAGAGAGAGCAGTTAAATCACTGTAAGAAGTGATTAGTCATGGCAAATATGCTTACCATGGGCTCTTAAAAAATTAGCTTTGTACTGCTTTTGCRCCCTTATGATTTCATGGAACTGTTGGTGTTTTCTTAGTGTATAAAAAACCAATTGGATTTTGATTATTTTTCCGTACTGGTCTGATATAAGAGTAAAAACGGTAGCCAGATAGCAATAACTTGTGCAGATTATGCCACAGCCAGCTTTATTAAATAACCTGCAGAAGACTGTATTTATAACAAAAACTAGGCTAGGAGAATGCAATGACTGTAAATTAGCAAGGAAATATGGCATAAATACATGTTTGGCCTTCCCGTCTCAAGGTTCACGGTCCTAGTCTGTCAGCAGCATTTGTACATAGATACTTTCCCTGCCTAGCTACTTTCTCAATCCTCAGTTCAGATGCCACTTTCTAGTTCTTCATCACTCATAGCATTCTCCAGAAAATTTAGAATCTAGTCCTAGGAATTATGAACTGGGAAAAAGGGGATGTAGACCTCTAAGAGACCTCTAGCAGAGGACTTAAGTCCTTCAGTTAGCTTGGAGGCTCACTCACTCCTAACAAGCCTTGCTTTCATTTGACCATGCTGGCTGTGCAGATGGAATAGCATATTYCTTCGAAATAATACTGAGGCTGAAATTATTACAGTAAAATAAAAGACACACTACTGCAGTAACAGTCCATCCTACATTTTCAGAGGATGGAGGTCAGGAAAGTRATCTGTCACACTGATATGATTAAACTTCTCATGTTGGTTGCCCAAACTATTAGCTGCCACATTTAATCTCCTTAAGCATGAATATAAAATGTAGATAGAAGCCCAGAGCCAGGTACATAATCATTAAATTACAATTTAAAGTCCTTGTAAGGACAGCTTTTATTTCCTCCGAGTGTTCAGAAGCACACTCTGCTTTATGCAAATATGACTCACCAAGTTTGCATGTAAGGAGTTCACATTAAAACTCAGCGAAGAACAGATCTGTTGAGATAAACCTCAAATCTTGTTAGACCTGTTTATTTCCACTGCTTTTTAAATGACACTCTTTAGATAAGAAGCCACAGACTCAAAAGCTGTAGGAAGAGGGAAAAGATTT